CCCACCTCCCTATCCCCCCCCTCCCCTTCCCCGTCCCCTCACCGGTGTGTTCGTCAGGGCGGAGGTGTATCTCGCCAGGTAGGTGGCGTCGGGGACGTCCACGGCCGCAACGCCCCAGTTCGATAGCTGTACGGATGTGTCCGGCTCAAGCCAGGGATCCGTACCCGCCAACCTGCGAGTGCGATGATATGCGGTGGAGAGAGAGAGAGGCACACAGGAGGCGAGGGAGGAGAGAAGGAAGAGGGTTTGGAAGAGGAAGAATTCATTTGGGTTTGAACGATGATGATGAATGGATGAATGAATGAATCCCGTCTGTCTGTCTGTCTGTCTGTCTGTCTGTCTGTCATTTGGATGAATGATTCATTCATTCGAATGACAGACAGACAGACACTACAGGGGGTTATCCAACCTAGCTGTAATAGCCGTACATAGTACGGCACACGTGACGCCGATAAATACACGCTAATAAGCCGTTCCGCCAGCATCTTGAGAGCGGCCTTTTCAGCGAGGCCAGCAGCTACCTGACCAGGATTGCCGGTAGCAGCCAGCTGCAGCTAACAACCCACCTTAAACCACAAACTACCACAAACTACCACAAACTACCACAAACTACCTACACAATCATCTCTCTCTCTCTCAGAAATCATCTGTCATGGTTAGGCGAAAAACAAAAAGGCATCTGTATCGCCGGGGCGCCGTACTCACCTCGCCATGAGTTTGTCAAACACAGCCCGTACGGCACCCGGGGCAAGGCGGTACGCGTTCATGCCGAACACACTCATGTCAGCCGCCAGGCGCAACACCATCTCCTGCTCCGGGTGCGGCAGATCGTACGGCAGCAGATCTAAAAAGGCCTTATCTACGCCGTACACTGTGACCTCGACGGAGCCGGCGACCGGGACGGCGGCGTCCTCCTGAAGGCTGTCCTTCACCGTCACGCGCACCTGTGTGTGTGTGTGGGGGGGGGGGGAGGTGATCAGGTATGTGGGGGGTGATCAGATACTCGGACTCAGTTTTCTCTCTCGGTAAAAAGACATCCAGGCATTGGCCAGGAAAAGGCCGCTTGGCTCAATCATAAGAAAATCGAGGAAAATTTGAAGCAATACGGTCGTTATCATCACCATCATCGCCAACGTCGTCATCATCACCCTGAATATCGTCGCCCTGAATAATTACTCTCTCACCTCCGCGGTTGCACCAGGCTCCAGCGCCACCACCTCACCGCCGTCGACGTCACGAATGGTCCTCACGCCGTCGCCGCCGCCGCCGCCGCCGCCGCCGCCGCTGCTGGCCTCGACGACGGCGACGCTGACCGCCAACGCGTTTTCGGGCCGCATGGTCAATGTAGCCGTCAGGACATGAGAGTGCGGTGCGTAAGGATCGAACAGGCGACTCACCGCCAGCTGGTCTGCTGGCGGCAGCGGCGGCAGCTGCGAGGTACGGAGGCGAGGTACGTCGAGTACGGCAATGATGACGCCACCGCCACGTACTTCATCGGCTAGGGGGCCCAGCGTAACCTCGACAAGGCCGCTGCTCAACTGCGCGACGTTGACCGGACCGACACAAAGAGCAAGGCGGAGAGTATGTATGTATGTATGTCGTTATGTCCGTCGTTAATGATAAAAAAATAGGTATATATTGGCATTTCGCCACGTCAAGGAGTTATTAGTTTTTGTTATAAAAAAAGGTGATCTCGCCAATCACTCCATCTAATTGCATTTATCTTAACGCATGTACGGCACCACCAGATGACTCTATGCGTGTGTGTATGTGTTCACACTCACCGATCCGTACACCTTAGTACGACTCTTGTAATCGTTGCCCCACTGCAGCAGCAGCCGCGCTCCGGGCCAAGGGTTCTGCAGCTGCAGCTTCACGACGTCACCCGGCGTGTACGACGTCCTGTTGTACAGCAGCGCGGGTGGGAAGGTGCGTCACCTAAAGATGCATGTTGAGTCTTGGATGACGATCTACATGAGCCGCATTCCTTCCAACCTCCTCCCCCTCCCCTCCTCTCCCCCTCCCCTCCAAGCCCCCCTTTCCCCCTCCCCTTCCCCCCACCTCCCCTTCCCCCCACCTCCCCTTCCCCCCACCTCCCCTTCCCCCCACCTCCCCTTCCCCCCAC